TCAGGGCAGTAGTAAGACGGATTCAGACTATGAAATCTCAGAGGAGAAATTGCTAGAGGAGAAATTCTTAGAGGAGAATGTCTCAGAGAAAGATGCAGATGTAACTAATTTGTTGGTTACTGAAGAATTTGTTTTTTTTTATGATGATTGGCGAGCGTTGTGGATTTTTGGCCACAGCCACAGATAATCAAAATTTGAACTATTACCGGTTTTTGATTCTCTGGAAAACTTTTCTGGAGCTCCGCAGCTTCTAATTGGCTCAAGAAAAATTATCCAATGGATCAAGAGTCACAGATAATCAAAATTTGAACTATTACCGGCTCTTGATTCTCTGGAAAACTTTCCTGGAGCGAATCATTTTATTTGATTTCGGTTCAAAGGTTTATTAAACGACAAATTATCGAGTAGAAAAAATCTTATGTTTTTTTCATTGCAAGGATAGGGGACCTAATTGTGATATTTGCTTATGGGCCCAGTGCATCCAAGGTCCAAGCGCCGCTACTGATCTGGCTCCATCCATAGGGCAATGAACTGAAGTCATACATAGAAAAGTTGAAATGGAAGTTTTGGGAAATAGTATTATTTGTTCTGTTTCTTCAGTTGGGAATTGCATAGATTAAATTTATGTTCGAGAAAGAAATCTCATCACTGAAGTCATCGGAATGCAGGTGGATGAAGAAGATAATTGTTTCCCCAATGAAGAACTTCTTCATTGTTTTAGACGAGGGGTAAACCGCAAGGGAAATGTGAATGTGGATATGAATGAGGAAATCTAGGACAATCAGGGGAAATCATAGAGAAATCGGAGGAAATCAAAGGAAATCTTGAGGAACCCAAGAAAAATCTTGAGGGAATCATGAGAAATCTTAAGGAAACCAGTCAATCTCTAGATCTAACGCATGCGCAGTTTTCAAAAATCTTTATAATTTGAAGGAGAACTCCAGAAGAAACCAGGGGAAATCCTCCATGAATTCCATTAGAATCGCTATCTGGTATAGGAAAACTGACCTGCGGTTTACCCCCAGTTTTGGATCTGTACAAAATTAGCTCCATGCTGGATTTCCCGATGAGGACGCATAGAGTGGCCTGCAAGTTCCTCTGATCTAACGCCACTTTATTTGTTTTATAGGAGACATATTAAGTCGGTATAGTGTGAAACAACTTCACTACGCCAGTTTTTAGCTTGGAGTCTGCGAAAGAAGAAGAAGGATAAGTGGAAGAAGGAGGAAGAGGAGGAGAAGGAGGTGTAACAACCTCGGCAAAAAAAAAAACTAGTGTTCAGTTAATTGCATTCCAGCATTGACCATGACCTGCTAAGCGGTAGCTGATACTAATCGTTTCCTCAATGAAGAACTTCTTCATTATTTTAGACGGGGGTTAACCGCAAGGGAAATGTGAATGTGAATATGAATGAGGAAATCTGATCCAACGCCACTTGATTTGTTTTATAGGAGACATATTAAGTCGGTATAGTGTTAAACAACTTCACTACGCCAGTTTCTAGCTTGGAGTCTGTGAAAGAAGAAGAATAAGGATAATTGGAAGGAGGACGAAGAGGAGGAGAAGGAGGTATAACAACCTTGGTATAAAAAAAAAAAACTAGTGTTCAGTTAATTGCATTCCAGCATTGACCATGACCTGGTAAGGGGTAGCTGATACTAATCGTTTCTTCAATGAAGAACTTCTTCATTGTTTTAGACGAGGGGTTAACCGCAAGGGAATTGTGAATGTGAATATGAATGAGGAAATCTAAGACAAGCAGGGGAAATCATAGAGAAATCGGAGGGAATCGAGGGAAATCTTGAGGAACCCTAGAAAAATCTTAAGGGAATCATGAGACATCTTAAGGAAACCAGTCAATCTCTAGATTTAACGCATGCGCAGTTTTCTAAAATCTTTATAATTTGAGGTTATGTCATCAGTGGAACTCTTGGGCGATCTTACTGGTAATCAGGAGAAACCAGGGAAAATCCTCCATGAATTCCATTAGAATCGCTATCTGATATAGAAAAACTGACCTGCGGTTTACCCCCAGTTTTGAATCTGTACAAAATTAGCTCCATTCTGGATTTCCCAAAGAGGATGCATACAGTGGTCTGCAAGCTCCCACGATCCAACGCCACTTGATTTGTTTTATAGGAGACATATTAAGTCGGTATAGTGTGTAACAACTTCACTACGCCAGTTTTTAGCTTGGAGTCTGCGAAAGAAGAAAAAGGATAAGTGGAAGGAGGAGGAAGGGGAGGAGAAGGTGTAACAACCTCGGCAAAAAAAAAACTAGTGTTCAGTTAATTGCATTCCAGCATTGACCATGACCTGGTAAGGGGTAGCTGATACTAATCGTTTCCCCAATGAAGAACTTCTTCATTGTTTAAGACGAGGGGTTAACCGCAAGGGAAATGTGAATGTGAATGTGAATATGAATGAGGAAATCCAAGACAATCAGGGGAAATCATAGAGAAATCGGAGGAAATCAAAGGAAATCTTGAGGAACCCAAGAAAAATCTTAAGGGAATCATGGGAAATCTTGAGGAAATCAGTCAATCTGCTAGATCTAATGTATGCGCAGTTTCCAAAAATCTTTATAATTTGAGATTATGTCAAAATCATCCCATGATTTCCCCTAAAATCGCAATCTGGTGTAACCCCTCAGTTTTGGGTCTGTACAAAATTGAATCAATGCTGGATTTCCCGGAGAGGACTCATCGAGTGTATTGCAAGTTCCCTCAATCTAGCGCCACTTGATTTGTTTCATAGGAGACATATTAGTGTAAAACAACTTCACTACGCGCCAGTCTTCAGCTTGGAGTCTGCGGAAGGAGAAGGACAAGTGGAAGGAGGAGGAAGAGGAGAAGGAGAATGCGTAACAATCTTGTTGAAAAAAGTACTGTTCAGTTAATTGTAAAGGCCCTTCCTAGGGTACGGCGAGTGCAGAATATTGACTCATCAAAGGCTATGAGAAGACAGTATTGACCATGACCTGGTAAGAATGTTACGTGTCTAAAGCTACATGGGGTAGTTAAGAGAGAAAAGAGTGAAGGGAGGGATATGACTCTTGAAGGTGGCCTAAAGAAGAAATCCGACTTATAGGGAAGCTCCGACTAGCCCGCAAAATTCCGGTGAGTGGGGTGGATCTAAATAAAGGCGCCACCTGTTTTCAACCCTGCAGTAAGTCGGTTTCTGAACGAAAGATATTTCAAAACAGGAAACAGCCTATAGCATACAAAGAATCAAATCAACACCAAAGAAAGGAAGGTTTGAAGGCGATCATCTTTAACTGAAATCCCCTAGGATTGGAGAACTCGTGATCACACCGCAATCTGAAAAGAACTAAATGTCAAAAATCAACTGTAAATGGAAAATAAAAGAAAATCACTGAATATTAAATTGTATGGTTTTGTTTATCTTGCTTGATTCGCTCCGTTCAGGATTTAACAATGATGTTTATCAGTTTAATAAAAAAAAAAAGGTACTTTGGCATAATTATCCATACCCCAATATGTTCAGTATTAAAAATAACCTTAGATTTAAAATAAATTCAATACACAATCAAAAACGTTGCTTTCCCTCGAAATAGGCCTATTTTCCCGGTTTACAGAGTACCTTTTCTATTTTAGGTTGAGCCTAAAACTTTTAATAAGAACATACAAGAATAAATAGTTATTACCTTAACTCCAATAATTCAAAACAAAACACCAAAGTTTTTATTGGTAATTAAGGCCTCTATCTGGCTATACATTGTTCTGATTGTTAAAAACCCTTGGTATGCTGAACAATACTTATGATGGTAATAATTTCGGGGTGAGTTTTTCTTTTGACCCCATAGCTTCACTACCAATCAGCTGGAGTGTATCCATCTGATTTCAGGACCCAGGACAACACACACATGTGACCCAACTAACTTACAAGGTGTTCCTTGATTGTTTGCTGTTTGCAAGTCTTACAGCGATCCAGGAATCTACCTGACGTGGAGTAAGGATCGAGGGTCCTCCCCAAATCTTCTTGGTAATTAGGGATATTCTAGCAACTAGAGGGGTGGCAGTAAGGCCGACTGGAATGGTTCAGAAGGTACCTCTGGAGTACTGGGTGTTGATGGGAAACCGGCACTCGGGTATCGGAGGAGAAACAAGGCCTCCAATACGAGGTAGAATAAAAGTGAAGAGAGACTAAAGGAAAAAAAGGCCTAAAAAAAAACAAGATTTTCGCACATGGTAAGCAAACAGCAAATATAGTAAAGAAGTATTCTAAAAGTACTTTAACGTTGTAGAATTTATCCAAAAGAAGAATAGCAGAAAATGAAAACTCACCAAAATACTTTGGCCTTTTCCAAACACAGCACACAAAGAAAAACGGCTAAATTTGAGACTCTAACCCTTTAAAACTCACACAACTAAATATGCCTATAGTGGCACTGTGGTGCTATAATCTCAGCAACCCATAATTGCCAGCAAAAACGCTTAGAGAAAACTCTCAACGTGCTCTTGAAAGCTGCCCTCTTTTCTACCAAAAAAACATATTTTTAATCCTTTCTCTTCCAGAAAAAATCCTTAAGGAATTTCTACAGAATCTATTGGGGGACACTGGTACTGCTATACGGACTGAATGCCTGGTACCCACCAAATAGAGGAAACTGTAATGGTACAAAGAAAGGTACGGAAATCTGTAATAGAACCATCGGTACTATAAATCAAGTGTAGGAATCTGTAATAATATGAAATGTTTAAATAAATAACCACAATTATTGTTAGATGGTAATGGTTAGATGAAAAATAGCGAAATGAAAACTGTATAGTTGAAATGACAACTTAGTAATAAATTTATAGATGGGTGTACTTTTACTTGAGGGGGAAAAATAATCCCGTAACAAGAAGTCACTGAAACTTGGTCAAATCTGAATATTTTGGCACCAAAATCAAGGAAAAATTAAATGATGTATCACTACCAATAATACTTTCTCAGTTTGAGTTTGCCAGATTTTGACAGTTTCTAAGACATACTTTCTATCTACAGCAGTTATTAGGGTAGAAAATTTGATCACCAATTAATGCAGGTTGAGCAGGATAATCATTAATCCACAATTCTCTCGGTTTCTCGTCATAAGTGATGACAGCTTCCCCAAACAACTGATGAAGAGTCAAACGCATCACGTCAATGACGCGATTGAGCCACTGTTCCACTTTGCCGCTGCAATCGCAAACGTTAGCGAATGTCACGTGTTCCTCGTTTTCCTTGGAAATCATTTCTTTTGCTCGTTTACTATTTTTTCCGCCTTCCTGTATGAACACCAGCTTGGCCAACGAGTCGAAAAGTTTGGTTAAATGCCGTTGAATTAGATCAGGTTGATTGCCGTTGGATAAAATATCCAATAAATCAGCTGATGATACGAAGTAGAATCTGGGAAAGGCTAGACGTTTAGTTTCGAGATAATCGTTTAACGCCTTTTCACATAACGTCAATTCTTTAAGCAAACTTTCCAATTTTTCATAAAGCCCTTGTTTGTTAGTTGCTTTTACTATGTTTGGTGTCTTTAGCATGTCACTCAAAACATCTTTGAATTCCCTGTCGATCCTATCAAATCGCTTTGAATCTTCCGGCAATTGACTTCTAATATCTTCCGAACCGATAAAGATACTTTCCAAATACATCCATTTACGTTGCACATCAAAATATACTTGTATTACTTGGTCGGCGTTGCCCAATTTTTTTTGCCAATCGGATACTTCTTCAAGGAAAAAATCTATAAACTTCGACGTCATCATATTCTGCAACGCAACTTGGTTTTCTTCTAGTGTTTCTATTACTTCTTCGGTGACTGTCAGTAATCTCAACTTGGTACGTTCGTGAGCTTCGGTACCAAATTCCAAAACATTCCAAGTAGCATTCAGTTCTTTCAAGACTTTCTCCATGGCCATTTCCTTCACGGATTTATCAACGATATTTTTAACTTCGTCTTCAAATTCGTGCAGATTCAAATCGAGCAGATCGCTTAAGGTCGTGTCATCGTTCATGACAAATTTTACCTGTTGGAAAGGAAGGAAAAATTAAAAAAATTATATTTTCTGTTTTTTTTTTGGATAATTATTATTTGTAAAAATATAAAAAATGTTCAGTGTATAAATAAATTGTGTCATGGATGATTATGATCTTGTCCCATTATTTGTCTATGAAGTGTATGAGTTGAGGTACTCACTGTATAAATTAATTTTGATAGTTGTTTTCCCACCTGATGTAAAGCAGCACAAATAAAATTTAAATTTTATTGAAGTATTAAAAAAAAAATTAGGTTCTTACTTTTGTAGCCTGCATCAATTGTATCCAATGTCTGTCTCTAATAGCTGGATTTTGTAGCTCAGTAACAGCTCTCAATGACGTCAACATATTCTTAATGGTAGCATCCATTTGAATATAGGCATCCCAGCCTTTAATCTCCTTATCCATTTGCCTGATTTCTTTGCCGTACTTTTTGCATTCCATTTCCATGTTTTCCACGTCAATTTTCTTCCACGGGGTCAATTTCCATTCGTCGATGCACGAGCGGCAGACCATAATAAAGTCCCAAATTACTTTTACTTGCTTGAGTTCTTTGCGCGTAGCTTTTATAGCTTTAAACTCGGGAAATGAGAGTTCGAAAAGATTGGATTGTTCTTCGAGCTTGTCTCGTTCGGCTTCCAGCTCGGCCGCTTCGCTGTGCGTTTTGTCCAAAAGCGTGTAGACTTTCGGACAGTCCCAATAGAAGAAACGCTGACTTTTGAATAGGTCTCGGTACATGTTTTGGCGGATTTCGAAAAGGTTGATACGACGTTTGATTGCGTTGACCTGGAGCGCTTGCAATGGGCCTACTGTTTGTTTTGTTGTGGCTGCAACCTATTAGAACGATTTTGAATTTTTCATCAACTACTTATATTGATATTGGAAAAACACTAACCTTTTTGCAATGAATCCATTTATCGGGAATTTCTTGCAACTGCACAGTAACTTCTTCCGGAAACTCGACATTATACTCTTTCAACAAGTCCATAATTTGTTTGAGAGGCTCAAACATTGCGTCAGTCTCAACTTGTCTTTCTTTAACTTTGAACAGATAGCCCATGACTTTCAATAGTCCGTCATAGTCGTCTTCTGTGAGTGGAACCTATAAAAATTATTGCTATATTTTCAAGTCTGTAATTAAAAAGTGATTGTTTACCTGCATCGCTGCCACTGCTTCCTTAATAAATGTCTCCAAATTATTCAAACTTTCGATAACGTGATTGTAAAGATGTTGCTTGAACAAATTTCCCCATTTGCAAACTGTATTTAAAATAGCTTGCCTTAAAGGACGTAGATCGACGCATAACCAGGGTACTAGGATTTTTTCACTTGGTATTTTTTCAACCTAAAATAATTTTGTTTAATACCTTCTCATCTATGTACATATAGTGCTTGTATACTTTCTTATACAACTCCTCATAAAAATCAATTTGTTCCTTGAACTGAGCTATAGTTGGTGGGCTTATTTTAATAGCGTCGGAACCTTCCTCATGAACTCTATCCATTTCGTCCGGCGTAAGCGTTCTGCCATAAAGTAAAAATTGTCTTAAAACTTCTTGCCTGTCTTCGTCCCACAACGTATAGTATTCATCAAACTCTTTTTGGTACGTGTGGGCGGCATCAACTCCTTCCATAACTTTGGAGCAAATGTCGTTTTTTTCTTGTGCTATTGCTGAATCTTCTCTTATCGATTCTAGATAGTTTTCGCCTACTTTTTCTGGATCGGAGAACGTCATTTGACGACACATGCTGTAGATATCCTCCAAGAGATCTAGAATACGGTGGAAGTTATTAATTATTTTGTTCCATACCGATAGATTGGACTAGAATATAATAGGTGTAAGGTGGTTTCTTTTGTGTTCAGTCCTCTTCAAGGTAGAGGAAACAAACAAAAACCAACTGTTCATTCTTCTCGAAGAAAATGCTCTTAGACAATGAAAGAAAGGAAAGGTTTTGTCGGTATGAATAATGTATTCAAATAAGAGTTTTAAAAAGACAATTGTTTGAGATTATGAACTCCTATTTGTTTCATCGTCTTGAAGGCTTCTTCTAGGGCTGCTTGGTTAATTTCTTGAAGTTCCAGTGTTGTTTCATTCTCTGGAAGTTCAGGGATGTCAATTTTTCGAATCTTCAGTTCAAAATTGAAGTTCTTGCTGGTTTTTGAAAATGTTTGATTTTGTATTTTTACAAAGCATTTTTCAAAAGAAACTAATGTTGGTTTGGTTATAATATCCATATAATTTGTCATATTCGGTAACTATCGTCGGAGTTTTCTTAGGGATGACTAATAGTTGTCCATTCGAGAATTGTCTCATTGTTGTTTTCACATATTTCACTATGATGAAAGGTCCATCAGTAATCAGGGCACAGACACATGATTCTTCTTGCTTGAGCTCTTCTTGTTTACAAAGTTACATATTTTTAACTTTTGGGCATTCTCATAAAGTATTGTAGTAAATGTCCGTAGTAATAGGTAAGGATACTTATTCCTAATGGTAAGTTCTTGGATAGAAATTGGATAAATCCAGCTGTTTCGTAAACAATTTGTCTTGAATTTCTTTTTTTTTTAATTTGTGAGGGATTCTGACAAACTTGTTTTTTTTGGAGTTTCAAACTTGTTATAGTTTCACGTATAGTGTCGAATGGAATCTTTCGATTGGACTATTCGAGTTTGGATTTCTTGAAGTTGTGTAATGAAATTCAATTTTCTATAAGGTACAGGATGTTTTTTTTTATATATTGACACCCCACCTACAGACTTTACCTTTACAGGTAGAAGAAAGGTGTTAATACAAAAGTGGTACAGTTTTGGCTAAATTTTTAGAACCCATGTTCAGAAACAAAAATTGAATGTCAGAAACGGGATGCCTTATATTTGGCTCCATATTCTTGAAGAGCACAATGCCATGATTCCAAAAATATATAGTTTGTCTATATTTGGTTGAGCCGTCTCCAACATATTTGGTTCTAAAATTTTTGAAAATACTATCAGAGAAACCAAGTACCTCAAATTTTACCTGCAGCTTTCACCTGTTCAGGTAGAATGGTTCACAAAATCAGTTGTAAACCAAATTCAAATAAACTTATTAATAAGAAATTATAAATTTGGTATATCAGATGTCAGGTAACTGATACCGTTGCTGGAAAGAATTATGTTCGAAGTATGTGTGTGTGGAGCGAAACAATGATTACATGAGCTAGATTTTTAAGATACAATACCAAATTGTATAACAATATAATTATCAAGGTTAGTGCATGAAAATCATGAGGTTTAGGACAAAAATCAAACTCCTGGATTAAAAATTCGCCGACGTTTCGGCCTTATATTAGGCCTTTTTCAGGGCTCCTCTGCAAATTAGGAGCTTTCGTAAACACTAACTCTAAAAACTCCATATTGTCTGTCTGTCTGTCTATTTCACCATTTCGAGCCCATACTCTACACTGCAGCCTTATAGGCTTATTGTATTTCATTTGTATGGGCTCTACTCCTTCTCATTCATACTTGGAGATCATGATTGGCGGCAGCACGGGCGACCTACCTACCGTACTACTGCGGTCACCCATCCAATCTCCATACCGACACCACGTTGCTTGGCTAGAGTAGGCCGTCTTGCGTCCTCCTTTAAGAATCAACGTGCCGGTAATTCCATATTGTACAATAAATTACGGGAAGAGATTTCGACGACACACTAGCAACCTAATTCAACTCTGGTTGGTAGGGGCGGGGCTAAGAGGAAATAAAAAAAAATCCAGTGTATTGCGGTTTTTACAAAGCAACTGATTACACTAAATAATACGATACGTCGAGTATATCACTACGCAGTAGCTAAAAATCACTTGTATACTACCCCATTTAGCACGAAATTTTAAGATGTGACAGAATTATTCACCCTACCAAAATATCAATTCTTACATAGGTAACATTATGTCATCATTGGTCTGTTAACTACACTGTTCTTTCCAATGTTAGTTCTTGATGATGTTATGTGCAGATTGCCACGCTGTCTAGTACAATAACCATGAATGTCAGTATTTTTTATAGGTTTGATATTTGCCCTGTTTTGTGTATAATCTTTTGCATAACTTTGGATTCTCCTAGGTGCACTATTTGTTCAATTTTCAACAACTTAATTTCCTTATAGATTTGGGACGTTGGATAGACTCTTGGGAAATGAAATAGGTGATTTTATGAATCTATTTTGCAGCCTTTTACAGTTTTTGGAGTTGCAGCCCAAACAGTAGGTACACATGTATCGCAGATATGATTTAAAAATTGCTACATATATTGCAGTCTTCGTGCAATCGGGTAGAATGTTTACAATTTTTTTTTATTTACACCACATGCATCAGCTAGTTTCTTCCTCAATAAGTTCACATGTAATTTGAATGTGAAGTCTTTGTCAATAGTAAGCCCCAAGTATTTGTAGTAGAGTCAACGATTTTTAATGCTGTATTATTAATCCTTATGTCTATAGAATTGATTATTGTTTTTTTTTTGTTCAGGAACACTGTTTTATTTATGTTAATCTTCAAGTGGTTTTTGAGAAGCCATTTATAGGTAGATAGGGAGCGATTAACGGTCTGCTGTAAGTCTTGAATATTTGGATCCTCGAAAAGCAACACTGTATCATCAGCAAATGTTATACAGGGCTTTCATTTCAAAACTTGCCACCCACGTTATCTGCGTAAAGAGGCATATTTGTGGAAATCGCCGAAACACCTCAACAAATTTATTGGGGGGGGGGGAGGTATTTTACGTTAAACTGGACTTCCTTCCTTCAACACTCTAAGTGCGCTTTCACATTGACACCGCTCGAGCGGTGAGCGTTGCGCGATGCCGCTGTAGCGATGTCCAAAAATAATTTTAACATTATATTTCAAATGAACATGTTAACACCGCGCGACACACCTTAGTGTGAACTTGTTCATTTGAAATATAATGTTAAAATTATTTTCGGGCATCACTACAGCGGCATCGCGCAACGCTCACCGCTCGAGCGGTGTCAATGTGAACGCGCACTAAACCGTAGGGCTACCACCCCAAATTTTTCAAATGAGACAGGGGGTTGAGTGCTAGATCATTTTAATGGGCTCGTTTACCTGTTGCTGTAATAAAAAGGTAGGTAAAGACGCACACCTGCTTTAAAGATAAATAGGCATTTTTAAACATTGAAATGGGTGTTATCACAGTTTGTGTTATTCTGCAACCCTGAGGTCAAGAGTCAATTAAAGGCGATTAACCAGTCGGTTATATTGACAGATGAATAATGCATTTAACGTCATTTATTACCGATTGGTTGACAAATGACGTTTGCTTCATTGGTTATCTGTCATTTATGACCAATTGGTTAATCGCGTTTAATCGATGAAGGTCAAATTCAAAAAATAGGATGACAAAATGTACCGATTGAACAGCCCTTTGAAATGGTCTATCACTCGACCCTCTGTCTCATATGGAAATTTTTGGATGATAGCCCTGGGGGTTAGAGGGTTGAAGGAAGGAAGTCCAGTTTCACGTGAAAAACCTTCCCCCCAATAAATGTAATGACGTTTTCCAGCGTTTTCCACGAATATGCCTATTTACGTAGATAACGTGGGTGGCAAGTTTCGAAATGAAAGCCCAAGGAAAAACATCCCTGCTACCAAAGGAGGGTGACACGAACAACCCAGCAAACTATCGATGTATATATATTTACAGTTCAGATTTGCACTTGAAAGACTGTGCACATACAAAAGACAGTAGAGGTCCTAGGACTGAGCCTTGTGGAACTCCACTGTTTGTAATAATTACCACACTATCGCGTTGATTGACCACTGTATATTGCTACCGCTTAGTGACATAAGATTTCATAAGATTGTCTGCTACTCCTCTAATTCCCATAACTTCCAACTTTCTCAAAAGAATTTTAGTGTTAACGGTATCGAACGCTTTTTGAAGGTCTATGAAAACAGCAATCTCATAATTGCCCCTGTCCAAGCTACTCGAAATATACTCGATCATGTCAACTGCTGCCACCTGCGTATTTGCAGCCTTTTAGAAACCGTATTGTTGCAAATCAAATTTAAAGTTTTTTCAATGAAGTCACAGCATATTCTAATCTTTATTATATTCTCTAAAATTTTAGACAAGGTTGATATCAGAGCGATAGGTCTCTTGTTGCCAGAGTCATGTTGACTGCCAACTTTATGGATTGGAATTATTTTGGTTCGTTTAAGACAATTTGGATAGCGATCGGTTGACAAAACCTCATTAGTTAACCTTGCCAACACTGGAATTATTAGATTCTTTATATGTCAATTAAAAGGCGATTAACCACTCGGTTATATTGACAGATAAACAATGCATTTAACGTCATGTATTACCAATTGGTTGACAAATGACGTTTGCTTCATTGGTTATCTGTCAACTATGACCGACCGGTTAATCGCCTTTAATCGATGATAGTTTGTAAATCAGTGGTTGTGATTTCGTCTGGTTCAGGAGATGCTTTTCTATTCAGTTCACGAATAACTTCGTCCATTTCTAGTTCAGTGCAAAGTTTCAAAAATATGGATTGCTGTTCATATACTTCTCTTCAATGAGTTCCGCCCGTTCATATTGCAATATTTGATTTTCAACCTCCCTGCCAATAGTGCCTCCTACATCTCGAAAATAAGTATTTGAACAGTCTGCAATTCCTTGATCATCTTCAATACAGTTATCATTAATTAATAAGAAATCTATAATATTTGCCTGTCTCATAATCAAATTCGAATCGCCATAGGACTGAT